CATGCACCTAGTATCATGTACCCAGTATTTAGTTTGTATATATGTATGAAGCCAATTTTTTACAGATTGATTCTTGCTGAAGAAGTTTAAACCCTCTTACATGAACTGAACACAAAAGACAATGAATGAAAAATTGAATTTTAATGTTTTTTTTTCAAAAATGGGATTTTTTTCGAAAATTGTGCTGATTGTACAGATTTTTCAAAAAAATGTACGGATCTTTAAAAAAATGTACGGATTGGTTTAAAAAAATGTACGGATTGTACGGATTTTTTTAAAAAAAATTGTACGGATTGTACGGATTGTTTTTCGAAAATTGTACGGATTGTACGGATTTCTTCTGAAAATGTACGGATTTTTGTACGGATGGGTTCAAAAAAGTTTTGGCCACCCTGACTTTTTCCGGTCAACATTGGAAATATTGATGGTCCTTATAACTTCCCTAGGTTCATGTCCATGAAAGTTTGTTTGGGCCCCAATCGGTTCTGCCGGGTTGACGGACAAGTAAAGCTTGGTTATATATATGGTTTGGTTAATTCACTTAAAGTTGAATTTGATGTTATTACGACAAAGATTTGTTTGCTCTGTTTAATGGTTCGGTCATAGGCGTGGCCATTAGTCATGATCATTGATCAATGATCATATTAATAAATTAATGTCAATGCTCATTTTATAGATATTTCTTCAAATATGATTGATAATTTTAAGTTTGGTCTCCTCCCAGTTGAAATCTATGGTTCAGTTTTAAGAATTGATATTTAAATATTTGATGATTAGAGATACATTGTTCTCCTACCATTCTGCTAGCGAGGAATTTCTTCACAGGTAACAAAGCAAGATCCTCGAGGATCAATCATAATAATTTTAATTGAATTTTTCGAAAAAATTAGAACATAACTGTTTTTTTTTCAACATAATTGTTGTGAAATTGAACATTTTGTAATTTTGTTATTGTGCGTTTTGTTTTTGGTCGTTTTGTTTTGGGCGTTTTGTATCCACCTCGAGTCCGTTTATTACAAAGCTCTAGACAGAGTCTTGCAAGTATTTAGAAAGAAAAAAATTTAGATGGAATTTTGAAGCATGGCAACCTTCCCCGCTTGGCGTTGGCCCCCCTTTCCTTTCTCTTTTTGACGCCCCCCCCCCCCCCACCACCAAAAAGTTTGTTGATTATAAAATATTTTCATTAAATTTATATTTTCTTATCTCGATTAACCAACCCTTCAACATGACTTTTCCATTATCATAAAGAGTTTCAGGAATGTGTTATAAATGTTTTTTTTTTCCAGGGGTGTATACAGGGGAGGCCCCCGGGGGCATTGCTTCTCCCTAGAAATTTTATTTCCCATATAAAGCTTAAAAACCTCATGTATTTAAAAAGCTCGCCACTTTAAATCCTGTATACGCCCCTGCGGTTTTGTGAGGAAACTTTTTCAACCGGGATTTGGATTAATGGTTTTTACACAATAGGTTAGGAAGACAATTTGGTTAAAGTTTTATTAACTATCCAAAATTTCTCTTTCTTATCTCCTTTTCTTTCTAGCCTACCATTTTCAGTTAAATTCACGATCAAAATATTGCTCATAATTTGAATTTTTTCTATTTTTTTTACCAATTAACATAATTTGATTTGATATTACATAATTTTAATTCATTTATTCACATAGTTTTGTAACACTAACAGAAAACATAAGGGACAGAAAGGTAAGGGAATGGGGTATGACGTCGAGACCTTCTTTTTTAGATCACTTACCATTAATTTCACAATACTTTAAGAACATTTTTCTGCAGTAATATTTTTACAAATAGTATTTTGTCACATCTCTCCTAGCTTTTCATTCAATCTGCACTGTTTTCCTTCTCTATCTTAAATAAATAATGTTTTAACACATTTTTTCTTTTTTTTTTAATAGATAAGTAATTCACGTTCTTTTTGCCATATAAAATACTAGCTCGTGGAACAAAATTTTTTTTTTAGCTTGTCACCCCCCCGGCCACTCTTGAGTGTCCACAAAAAATATCAGCCCATTCGGTTCAGCCGTTTGGCCGGCCAGAGGGAACATGTATTCGAATTTCTTGTCTTATTATATAGATATACAGTTTACACTCATTTGGATTAATATCGATTTAAAACATTCTCATTGGGTTTAGTCGTAATTTCAGATTCGTTGATCTATCTAAAGTGTGTTGAAATTTGACAATTTACTTCACTGCTTCTGTAGCTGCACGTCAACTGATAGAGAAACAATAATAGGAAACTAATACATTTCCAGATTGAAAAAGAAGTATATCGCAATCTTACCAATGTTTACAAGGTGGTACCGTTGTGAATCGAACTTGCTATTTTTTAATTTAAATTTAATGAATTTAAGCCGCGTATCAAATTCCCCAAAACCGGTTTCAATTATGCGCCGGTGTGGCGTTATTTCTGGATAAGCATCCGCGCATATTTTTGCAGTTTACGGCAATGCGCACAACAGAAATCTGGTATTTTATCTGAAATTTCAGAATTAGAAATTATTTTTATACGCTTAAAATATACACTATATGCTGATATGTAATGTGAGTACAGAAGTAATTATCTATAAACATTAAACTCTCATTAGTTGCAAGTATCAGAATCTTAACAATTAGCTTACGTAAACTATAAGCTGAAATATTGATCCCTATTCTTAAAACAATTGATTTTTACTGTATGTCGCTCAGCAAAACTTGATTGATTCTCAAAGATGAGAAATACTTTCACTTAATTTAATGTTTACATTCACAGAATTGTGCGCGAATGCCGCGGAAAATTTGCTGCGTAGAGTCTACTACCATTATTTAACGCTTACCCAGAAATAACGCCACACCGGCTTAAATCTTGAAAAATTGAATATTTTAAGTGGAACCAACCATATTTGAGCCGCGGCTTAATTTCTTTAAATTTGGCCTCAGTCTCTTTAAACTGGTAAAATTTCAATTTTCCTGGATGACTGTTTCCCACGTTTTCCTTCATCAACTTAATTATTTAATGATTCAATAACCCCTCCCCCCCCTCCTCCTCTAGTGCAAATGGAAGATGTTGTGTTAGTGTTTGTTGAGGTAAAGTTTGACTGTTGGTCCAGTACAATGTATATAAACAAGGTAGTTGAGGTGGGATAAGGTTTGTATACAGTATACACATTGGACCATGACCTGTTTAGACTGCTTGGAACTAGTTTTATTAAAACAATAACAAGTCGGGACTGGCATAAAATCAAATATTTTTGCATTAAGATTTCACATAGTTTGACTAATTAAATATCACAAAAAATAATAAATCCTCATAAGGGAAAAAGAATCTGGTGGGCTGTGGAAGACGATGCCTGGCCGCGTTAAACTAGTTCCACAAGATTCAACAGAATGAGATAGAACGGATACGGGGCATAAGTACTGATATGATCTCTACAGTCTACACGTGCGATATCGATATTGACTCTAGTTCTGAACCCTCTAGTAATAAGTTATAAGAAATATATATACTGGAAGTTATTTATGCGTTTTATTAGAGTCTGACTCACGTCCTCTATAATGGTGACCCCTGACTTTGAACATACAGTTAAACGCTATCCAGTTTAGTGATTTTCTTGAACTTTGAACATTAAGTGATACATCCGAGCATCATGACCGACACGAAAGTAACTCCAACCGAGTTCGTCGCCAAAGTCTCCGTCAAGCTCCCGGATTTCTGGACAGAGGACCCCGACCTGTGGTTCCTTCATGCAGAGGCAGCCTTCAGAAACGCCCAGATCACACAGTCAATAACCAAATTCGACCACATCGTACAGAAACTTCCCCAGAAGATTATGGTCTCGGTACGCGGCCTGATCATGGGTTCTGCTGCCNCACGGACGAGTATGTAGGACGGTAGGTTAAAAATATATATATACACACAAGAAATATTACTTAACTTATTTATTACCTTTAAGCCAGTTTGTAAGCAGTCAAAAACATCCCATTAAAATGTACATATAAACCTATCCCCCTACCTTTAGTATACATACCTTGGTCAAGTGTATGAATTTGTGTGAGAGAGAGTAAGAAAGAATATTGATGAGGGGACGCTAACTTTTATAATCTAAACTTTATATTTAACTAAATATACCACCTCGTTTACACACACACAGGATAAACAAATCATACCAACTTTTAATACAGTGGTGGTTAGAAATTAATGAATATAGGAAGACGATTAAAATTATTGTATTTGAAGTGTTCATTTGGAATTTCACACAAATTAAGACTAGATTTATACATATTTTTTAATGATAAGTTTTGATTTAATCGCAATAAATAATTTTTGATTTATTTAAAAACAATTGATGATTTAATATCAACTGTAAAATAATTATGTACTGAAATGCTGGGTTATATTTTCTCACGACGAGGATTTCCCCCAGTTTTTATTATCTGAATTAAACTATTACATTGATATACTTCTTCTACATAAGCAGTATGATGAGATATCAAAGGATGAGTATTTATGTGCAAGAGCTTTTCTAACGAGTTTGGGAATTATCATTAGAACTGTGGTGGGTTGGTTGTGTAACAAGTTGTTTTATATGAGTTTGGAAACTAGCAGTTGAAAGAACAAAGGTTGCGTAACAAGTATATTTTTATGAGTTTATGAAACTAGCAGTTGAAAGAACAAAGGTTGCGTAACAAGTATATTTTTATGAGTTTATGAAACTAGCAGTTGAAAGAACATGGGTTGTGTAACAAGTATATTTTTATGAGTTTATGAAACTAGCAGTTGAAAGAACATGGGTTGTGTAGCAAGTATATTTTTTACGAGTTTGGAAACTAGCAGTTGAAAGAACATGGATTGTGTAACAAGTATATTTTTTATGAGTTTGGAAACTAGCAGTTGAATGTATATGGGTTGTTTAACAAGTGTGTTTTATATGAGTTTGGAAACTAGCAGTTGAATGAATATGGGTTGTGTAACAAGCATGTTTTTTTGAGTTTGGAAACTAGCAGTTGAAAGATTATGGGTTGTGTAACAAGTATATTTTTTATGAGTTTGGAAACTAGCAGTTGAATGAATATGGGTTGTGTAACAAGTGTGTTTTATATGAGTTTGGAAACTAGCAGTTGAATGAATATGGGTTGTGAAACAAGTATGTTTTATATGAGTTTGGAAACTTACAGTTGAAAGCTTGTGTTGTGTAACAACTGAACTAAGTACGTTTTCATGAGGTTGGAAACGTAAAGCAACAATGTTAAAAATGAAAAATTCAATATCATTTATATTTAGAATGATGGCTTTGTTTGTTGCAAGCCATTACAAGAATTCTCCGAACGATCTCCAGATGTTATCAGATGCCCCGGCGCATCATCTCTTTTGTCTCCTTGGTCCTATCTCTCCATCCTCTACTTCTCTACCAGAGGTAAATAAATCATTAGAATTCAACCTTTTATCAATCGTTATAAACCAAAAACAAAATAAATAGATTGCAAAATAATTAGTGGAGCACAGATTCTATTCGCAGTACTCTTAATTTAGATATTACGTAATAGTATACTAATGGTATACTTATAGTATACTCTGAATTCAAACTGCCAATTTCTAATATTTCCTATTAAGTAAAGTACACATCTCTAATGAAATTCTGAAAATTAAGAGGAAAACATCAAATTAACATCTCGGTGACATTTTATAATTTAAAGACGACATCATCCTATTGTTTTCTGGTTACCACGGAAACACAAAATAAAACCATTTATCTCATTATGCTTATTGTTTCCAGGTTCTGTGCGTGGTTCAGGTGTGTCTGGAGGGTGAGATATCCCGTGGAAGCATTATGGCCGGGCTACAAAGAGGTCAGCGTGCATCTGGAGACCTTATTCCCTGGACTATGGCGCAGCAATTTCAGGACGATAATTTCCCCCAGCTCTCAGGTTAGTTTACTCAGTGTTGAAGACGGCAGCGTCAGGGGTTGTACCCCCCCCCCCCCTCTAAATATATCTTGATAATATATCTGACCCTGTAGTTTAGTTGATGGCCAACATTTTGTATTTTATTACAGGAGCCCGGATAGTTCGGATAGCAACCCACCCAGAGTACCAGAGAATGGGATACGGAACCAGAGCTCTTCAAATCCTTCAGAAATATTATCAGGTTTTCGAAAAACATATTTTCTTATTTAATCAAGCAATTTGTTTGCCCTCCTAAAATTGATCCGGAACAGCAAGAATGAATATCAGGTTTAAATGGCATGTTAACAAATAATAGATAGTTCAAAAGAAAATTAGTTTACCAACCTTAGATTTTCCCCGTCCTAATTGAGCAATTACCTGTATTATTATTATTATTGATTATTAGGTATTGATAATAATCGTTGATTTTCTTTCTAGAAATAGGTTTGTGAATACAGTAATATCGTAATAACACGGCATTGACCTAAACATAAGAAATTGATTTATAATCTTAATTTGTTTTTAGGGAGAAATTATAAGCGTGAAGGAAGGGGAAGGAGAGACTGAAATGCCTACTGTAGAAGAGGAGGATCTAGGACTTCTAGAGGAGACCATCTCACCCCGACGCAACCTACCTCCTATGCTCCTTGAGCTTGGAGAACGGCCTCCGGAGGATCTTCAGTACCTCGGAGTCTCCTTTGGTTTGACCTCGAACCTGTTAAGGTTCTGGAAGAAGGCTGGGTTTGCTCCGACCTACCTCCGTCAGACTAAAAATGATCTCACCGGAGAACATACAATCATTATGCTGAAGGCCCTGGAGACGTGTAAGAACGCGGAATGGATCTCCGCTTTTTTCACGGATTTTCGGCGTCGACTGGTCAACCTTCTCGGGTTTCAGCTTAGTAACCTTTCTCCGTCCTTGGCTCTCTCCCTCCTTCACAACAAATCCGTCAACACCTCCTCCGTGGTCCTGTCCGCATCCCAGCTCTCCGCCCACCTTACCCCGTACGACGTGAAGAGGTTGGAACTGTACAGCAACAATATGGCGGATCATCACCTTATCACAGACTTGCTTCCCTGTCTCGCCAGGTTGACCCTCACACAACAGCTCGGAGATCTTCATCTTTCACCAGTACAACAGGTGATCACTTACAATAAATGAGAAACAAAACCTAATAAAGAAATTAAAAACCTACTTTTTTAAAAGCTACAGATAACTGCTCTGTAAAAGTATGTTTAGAAGTTCTGTTAAAAAATTAATTTTAATTTCAACGAAAATAAATAATTTTTCATTTCTTTCAATTCACGCAAGAGGTATATCAAATAGAATTGGTGAACTTGGAAAGGCAAGAAGTTGACCTATGAATGAGTTAGATAATTTAAGATAGAATTACAGTAGTAAATTCGTTCGTTTGAATTTGTTTTAATTAATATCTTGTTGAAGGCAATCCTGGTTGGTATGGGTCTTGAGCATAAAACCGTTGATGTTTTAACAACAGAACTAGAGCTCCCGGCAAACCAGCTCCTCGCACTCTTCAACAGGAGTATCAGGAAGCTCTCAGCTGTACTCCGGGGAGTACTGGAGCAGGAGATAGAGTCTAGGATCGGAGAGAAGGCTGTCGGAGGTTTGGAGCTGGGCAGTCTCGACCTCGAGCTAGAGATCGGAGCTAAGGAGGAAGAGGCTAAGCAGAGGGAGAAGGCCAAGGCTATGCTTGTCTCTCAGGATCTGACCCAGTATATCGTGAAGGGATCGGAGAAGGATTGGAGCTCTGCTCTGGCCGGAGGAAAAACTATCAACTCTTTGAGTATTAAAACCGGAGAGAAGAGGGCGGGAGAAGAAACCGAAGAAAATGAATCCAAAAAGAAGAAAGAGAATAAGGAACCTAATCAAAAGAAGAAGAAGAAGAAAGACAAGAAGAAATAACAATATTTTTTAAAATTACATTTTTTTCATTAAATTTTTGATATTTTTTTATAGTAGCACCTTGTAGAGAGTATGTCATTATAATTTTTTGTCCGAAAAAGTCCTTTTATGTTGATTTGAAAATGTTTCTTAAATGCCTTTAAAAGGCATTTTATTAACAGATCCAATCGACTCTTTTTATGAGTTAAGGTTTATTCAAGAATTGTTCAGGGACATTTAAGAGTATTAAAAGAACAGTTTTGCCGTCTCACAAGTACAATTGTATGTTTCTTGTCACCTGGGGCGTATACATAAATTTATTAGCCCCAAAAAACCCTGGTTCCCTGTATACGTCTCTGTTTATCTCTTATTGCTTCAAGCAAATTTTTACTGGTTATGAAAACAAAATTTAAATGAATTTTAAACGTTTCAAAACTAAAACGATCACAAAAAAAAAGTTTACTTTGATGACTCAAATTCGAGAAATTAAGACAAGACTGAGGAGCCGGGAGCTTCTATTACCCAATCATCTTGCTTCCAACTATTCCAACAGTCTTCTAATAACTTTTCTGTTAATATTTATGCATTATCAGAATCATCTTGTTCCGTTATATCGTTCTTCAATATTAGCCGGTCTTACTAAGATGTTCTTTCCGTTTACTGAATACTGGTCTTATTTGTTCCTTTATCAAGATCATCTTAGGATGAAAGTTCTTCATACAACAACCTTCTTTCCCTGCTCTTAATTTCAACGCCATTTTCTTTTTGTTCCAACCGTTCTTCTTTCTATTTCTCTATTCTCAATTTGTATTCTATTATCAAGATCATCTTCCATTCCTTTTCTACATGTTCTGTTTTTAGTTGGGTTTCCATAATCGAGATAATTCTGTTCCAACCGTTTGTCTTACCAAGATCTTATTTCCCTGTTTTCAATTTGAATTTCAATATCAATTAAATTCATCTTACAATCTCCCAATCTCCTAATTTCAGGGGGCGGAAACGTCATGTGTGTGTGTCTGTACCAAAAGAGTGTGTGTAAGGAATACCGAACCGAAGGTGTGTACTGTAGGTATATACAGTACATACGAATCTCGGTATTTGTTTATTGTTAATTGTTTATTTAAAAATAAGTTTAATACAGGGTGTCCCAAAAAACATGGGAATTCAGTGACGAATTCGATATCGTCTTTTTAACTAATTCTTTGATTTAGTATAGAGATACCTACTGAGAAAGCTGTAATCTGTAAGAGTTTCGTCTGCTATGTTCACATTTTGTTTGTTTATGTTTTGACTGCAATAGGTTGTACTTGGTAAAACAAGAAAATTGCAGTATACAAACAGAGTAAACTTGTCCGTCTTCACTGTTCATCTTGCGGAGACATTATAGACACATATTTACAGTCAATTTTACCCTTTTCATAAAAATAAACTCTAGCAGACATAATAATATTATGGCTTTTAAAATTAGGTAACACAATGCTAATTCATAACAAAGACGATATCGAATTCGTCACTGAATTCCCATGTTTTTTTGGGACACCCTGTATACAGAGCGTCCCATATCATTATAGACTATCTCTTATCTTATAGCGCCAAAATACGCACATAATAGTCAAAAAATCTAGCATTTTCTGCAAAATAATTTCTATTAGCCTTATTAAATATTTCAAAATGATTGATTATTCTTAAATTATCTGATTTGTCCCCCTCGTCCCCCAAATCGTAATTTATAGACCCATTGACACGGTCTAATTTGATGTTACATATTATTTATATATTTAAGTCAACACTATAAGCCAAATTTTCATGCATAAAGATTACAATAAAAACTCGCTATTCTGCTTAAACTTAACTATGACAACATTGTTCTGCAATTTCCTTGACTGTAGTCATGTTGTGTGTCTGTACTAAGAGTGTGCGTGCGTAATAACGAACTCGTCTGCAAAGCAGTGCGACTGGCATTCTTATGCCAGACCAGCGCCATTTCCCTTCCCTTTATTCATATTCTCTGCCTAATTTGTCGAATGATCATTTCGACGATCCTCAGCATACATCTTTTTCACTTTCCCATTTTTTTATTTTGCTTTTTATTTCGAATCTCTGTTTTGATATTTAATTATGAGTTTTTGTTCCGTCAGATCTGGGTTCTGGATAAACTTTAAACTAGATCCTCGAAATGTTTGCTATTTGATCACGGATGGAGTCAGGATGATTAAAATAAAAATAGCAGATTTAAAAATTAATTTAATGAGAATTACGTCCTGTTCCTTTCCTTACTAATTATTTTAATCACCTTCCCGATATCTTCTTACGTCCTTCGACTTTCGCATATCTTACTTGACAGTTGACAAAATTGTTCAGTCCGTATTTTATTTAATAGTTTTTGGTTCTTAAATTAAGACGACATCTAGTTCCCTACCCTTGTTTCAATAGCCAACTGAAGATTTAAAATTAATAAATTAAAAATAAATAATAATATTTAGTTCTGAATATTCTTATAATTTAGAATTAAAAAAATAATATTCAGAAATTTTCAAATCTACATAACAAAATCACCCCGTTCTCTTTTAAACTGAGAAATAGACCGCGCAGGGTACTTACCGCTGGTTGGTTCAGTTTGAACAAGTGTACGCTCGCACACACAACAGAGAAAGTTTCACGGAGAGAGAGAGAGATAGTGAAATTCAAACTGAAATCTAACAAAAGTTGTTAAAAGTTAGAAATTGAACATTTATTATATTTTCTCAAATAAACCTTTTGATGGTTTTACAAAAAGTTTTAAAGTGAGATGACATGATGTGTTAAAACTCCACGTTTTTGTTTGCTGTTTGGTTTCATAGAATTAAAGGCGGTTAAATTTTACCTGTTCTATGATATGACATCATACAGTTTAAACCAAGCTTCTTTAGAGTCTGTACTTTTTCTAATCAATAGAATAGATTATACATCAACCTTCCTTTTTTCATTTAAATCTGAATTTCGTTTATTCTATTCCAAAATTATTCTTATTGTCCCTTAAGTTTATGGAATTCTAATCTTACTGTTGCCTCCTAAAATGATATATCCCAAACCTACTTTTGCCTCACTAAAGTGATATTTCCCAACCCTATCATTGGCCCTTGCCTCCTAAAATGATATCTCCTAAACCTACCTCTTGCCTCCTAAAATGATATCTCCTAATCCTACTCCTGCCTCCTGTAAGGATTCTCAATCCTTATCTTTCCTATTAAAATGATGGCTCTCAATCCTACTATTGCAGTTGCCTCCTAAAATAACATCTTCCAAACCTACTCTTGCCTCCCGAAATTATATCTCCCAATCCTACTCTTGCTTCCTAAATTATTATCTTCTAATCCTTTATTATCCCCCCGGCCGCCCCCCTCCCTCCTTTCAATTTTGTACATGACTAAATATTTTCAGGAAAGTTGTTATTTATTTTGTATTATTTTAGGGTTAGGTTAACACAATTTATTGGCCGAACGCTGTGGCTTGGAAAGGCTAAGGGGCCGAGCGCCGCGGCTAGGACAGGCTATGGGCCCGGGCGCTGCGGCCGCATGTCCAATTATATCCATGTGTTACATATGAGATCCATCAAAATTTATAAGAGGGGGGTGTCCTAAAATTGTATTTAAGGAAATTACCCATATTTCTTCACTCCTTTCCATTAAGTGATTTTTACTCCTTTTTATTATTCCCAATCTTTCCCCTTACCTCTCATATTGTTTCTTCCCAAACCTTCTCCTTGGATCTGTGAAATTATTCTTAATGTTTTATTAATTTAATTTTTAGGAGAAGAGTTGATTTACGGTTTAGAAACAGATGTTTGTTAAGTCGTTAATTATGCTTCAGATAAATTAAAATATTATATTTAGAACTATTTTCAAGAACTTCTTAATAGTGTTCGCATGAATGGAAGCCCCCCCCCCCCATCCTCTCTCAATTTTTAATAACATATTGATCAATTAAAGAAAGACGTGAAAATAATGGTGTAAGCTCAATAAGCGACTACAATGTTAAAATATCAAAGTGAATTGTGATTGGTAAAATCAAGAAGAGTGTAACTAGTGAACAGGGGTGTACTTGAGAGCAGGAGAATGGGGTGTGCAGTGAGCAGCATGGAGAAGGAAGCAGCAGAGCGGTCAAGGAAGATTGACCGTGAGCTGGCTATAGATGGTGAGAAAGCAAGCCGTGAGGTTAAACTCCTGCTCCTGGGAGCTGGAGAGAGTGGAAAATCAACAATAGGAGAGAACAATGTTTAGACCCCTTTATTTTATGAAACAGGCATTAAAAAAATTATTCATATATTAACGATGTTGGTTTGCATCTTGATATTTTTCTGTAGTTTAATATGTAATTTTAACCAGATTACGAGTCACACCCATTAAATATATATCTTATTATTTATAATTGGTTTACTATTATTATTATTAAGGATTATTGATTTTCCTTTAAACTCGAGTTCAAATTATGACTTTATAATAACATTGAAATTCCATTTAAAATTTATTTTTGGGAGTTTAAGAAAAAAAGCCATAAAAGTATAAATAACATAATCTAAAAATACAGAGTATTTAAAATTATTTTGGGATGAAGGATTTAAGTAACAATAACAGAAATGTTTAAATATTCCAATTATTGTAATAAGGGGTCTAAATGTTGTTCTTTCTGTAGTTAAACAGATGAAAATTATCCATGATATCGGATATAGTGGAGAGGAATGTCTGCAGTATCAACCTGTCGTTTACAGTAACACAATACAGAGCCTCATGGCAATCATTAGAGCAATGGGTCAGCTAAGAATAGACTTCAGAGATCAATCAAGAGTGGTAAGTTACTTTTATTTTGTCTGATAATTAAATAATATATCCCTCACTTTCCTTCAGAAATTATCTAAAAAATAAATTCAGAAATTTTAAAAATCTTTCTTTTCTCTTGTGTTTTTACTTTAAAAATGTTCATTTTCCTGGAAGTTCGTAATTTCCACAAAATAACCAAGATGGTGTGTTATTTTCTTTTTCTTTATGTATCGTCTTTTTTTTGCTACGACTCTCGTAAATGAGATATTAAAATTAAAATAAATTAATCTTATATGAAACCTCTCACTATCTCAAATTATAGATTTGTGTTTGTATTACGATTTAAGGGACTAATGGCAAGGTACCCTCCATTAACAGACTGGCATTTCTGATTCACAACGGTACCCTTAAAGCGTTGTATGGTCAAGAATGAACTATACATCAATGTCTAATTCTTTACTGGGTTTATTTACACAAGTGATTTGCGCATTTATTCTGCAGATACAGTGAGAGGAACTTAACGGTTTAAAAAGTACTGTTGTGAATCTGGTATGCACCTCTGTAAATGGGAGGTTACTTGAAAATATAACGACAGATCCTTTTAATAAATATATTGTTTTCTATCTGGGAAACGGAACATCAAATTTGGGAAATTTCAAAAATTCAGTTCTATTCTCTATTCTGTTTTTACTACTAATATCAGAGCTTTTACTTAAATATAATCAAATATTTACTAAATATATTTGTAAAACTAATTAAAATTATATTGTAAATATCAGTATTTAAAGATTAATTCTCTTGCTGGTAATATTGGAGTCCTGAAAAGGATGATACAATCAAGTTGAACATATTTATTAAAAGCAATGGTTCCCGTTGAGTTAATTTGAAAAATATTTACTGGTTTAGCCTGAGTTTCAGGGTTTCTGTTAAATCATGCTGAGCTGATTCTAATTTCCTGTATTCAGACTAATATATTCCTCCCCTACATATATTCTACTATATATATATTCTACTGTAAATGTTCTACTAAATATATTTTCTACTATATATATTCTACTAGAAATGTTCTTCTAATATATATATACTACTATAAATGTTCTATTAAATGTATATTTTACTAAATCCCCTACATATATTCTACCATACATATTCAACTATAAATGTTCTACTACATATATTTTACTATGTACTCTACATCAAGCTTTACTTTCTACATGCTGTACTCTACTCAGTACATTCCTTTACAATCCACTGTACATTTCTCTGTACACTCCTCCTCTGAACACTACTTTGTACACTTCTCTGTTCTCTACTCTGTACACATATCTGTACACTCCTCTGTTTACACTCCCAAATTCGAAGCTTAAACCAAACTTATTAAATGTTCAAACCTCAACGCTGTTCAATTTCTCAATTAATTGATTTTATAAATATTTTGATTATCTGTTAGATATATAAACCTAACCCCGGGATATTAATCTGTAATTGAATAAATTTGCTAATTGATAATTGTTATGAAATTACGATGAATTCGTCAAACAACAAGGGAGGGTTGTTACCACTTTATTACTAAAAATCCTTCCGGGACCACAAAAGGAAACTGCTTCTGTGTAATTTGCGTTAAATATTTTGCATTCCTAATTTCCGCATTCATCTCTACCCCTCTTTAATAAACAGTTCCGCACTCTACTCCGCTCTTTGATACTACTCCATTCTTTGATAAACAGTCCCGCACTCAACTCCATTCTTTGATAAACAGTCCCGCACTCAATTCCATTCTTTGATAAACAGTCCCGCACTATACTCCATTCTTTGATAAACAGTCCCGCACTCAACTCCATTCTTTGATGAACCGTTACGCACTACTCCAATCTTTGATATTTGGTGCCGCACTATACTCCATTCTTTGATAAACAGTTCTGCACTATACTCCATTCTTTGATAAACAGTTCCGCACTCTACTCCACTCTTTAAAAAAAAGTTCCGCACTTTACTCCACTCTTTGATAAACAGTCCCGCACTCTACTCCGCTCTTTAATAAACAGTTCCGCACTCCAAACAATTTTTTGATGAACCGTTCCTTACTCTACTTCACTTTTTGATAAATGGTGCCGCACTCTACTCCATTCTTTGATAAACAGTTCCGCGCTAAACTCCATTCTTTGATAAACAGTTCCGCACACTCCATTATTTTATAAACAGTTCTGCACTCTTTTTGATAAATGGTTAAACAGTTCAGCACTCTACTCCACTGTTTGATAACAGATTAACACTGTATTCTGCTATTTGATAAATAGGTCCGCACATGAGTCCACTTTAATAGTTCCACTTTCGTTTTCAGTTTAAAATGCTGTTTATTGTGGTGGCTGTAGATACGTTTCCGATTTCTTTTGTGGTTTCTTAATATGTTCACACTACAATTAAAATTTTCCCACAAACTGGTATTTCTAAAATTAAATGAAATTAATGGCGACATTTGTTCCCATTTTACTTTTGTTAGTTTTATTTTACGCATAATGTTATTTGCGTGTTTTTTCAGGATGACGCGCGTCAGTTCTTCTCTATGGCGTCAGCTCCAGGTGAGGACGGAAAGCTGTCCTTCGAGTTGGGGATGATCATGAAGAGATTGTGGGCAGATAAAGGAGTTCAAGCATGCTTCCTCAGATCTAGGAATAATATTTATTAAATTCTAAACCATCTTTTAGCTCGATCCTATTTTATACCAGTAACTGGTTGGAAACCAAGCTTTTGCTGGAAATCCTAATTTTCCCCATATAAGTCGACCAACTCATATTAGAATTTTAAAATCGATTAAGGGGTTCATGAGTTATGGTCAATGGTCATACATGCAGACAAACAAACCGAGAGAAAAGTGGAATTTTATTGAAATGAGATCAATATAAATTTAATATTTATGGTTGACGTTGATTTTTCTTAAATCTCCATGTTTATGGAAAAAGGCTGAAATCTAGTTTTTAAGTCATGTTTTAAGAATAAATTTCTGTTAGATAAACATTATTTTCAAACGAAAACCTCTTGAAAAAATACCGGACTTAAAACCAGAACTTTAATTAATTTTATTGAAGTTTTGGTTCTTTCATGAAAACTTTTTTATAGAAACAAGTCTGTTAAGTGTATGCCTGATGATTGAAATCTTGTTATCTATATCGGGGTTAATGTATGCTTTTATTACAAATCTGTGCTGAAGTTTGAAACTGAAAGATAACAACCTGAAACAACGGCCGAATTAAACCCGCGAAATTTTGTAATCTTTCATGCTAAGTTCAGTACTCCACTCCTCAGTATATTGTAAACTTACATTTTATAACTTTAAACCATTTTTACTTTAACCTATCCATCCCTTCCTTTACCGCACCCTAAATTCTTTCTTTATCTCTTCTCGCGCTTTGCTATAGGTCTAGCCTTTCTTTTGATTTAATCTATTGTTTCCACCTCTTCTCTTTTATTCCTTATCTCTCTCTTTTGCTTTCTTTTATTTGACAACTTTAGATTGAGTTTTTATTTCTTTTTTTAACAAAGGATTTTTAATCTTTGATAATTAAAAGAGATGAATTGTAAATAAATATAATTGTATTATAGAGAATATCAGCTGAACGACAGCGCCGCGTACTATTTGAACTCTTTAGATAGAATATCCTCACCCAACTACAAACCTACACAACAGGTACTTTTCAAGTACATTCATGACTATTCGGGTTTATCGTTTACTTTTCGAGTACATTCAGGACTATTCGGGGTTATCGTGTACTTTTCGAGTACATTCAGGACTATTCGGGGTTATCTTGTACTTTTCGAGTACATTCAGGACTATTCGGGGTTATCGTGTACTTTTCGAGTACATTCAGGACTATTCGGGGTTATCGTGTACTTTTCGAGTACATTCAGGACTATTCGGGGTTATCGTGTACTTTTCGAGTATGTGGAGTGCTTTTGTTACATGAAGTGCTTATCAATATCAAGTAAAATGAGCATTTTTCTTAAAATTACTAGTCCTTTATTAAGGTATCTTGAGAAAGTAGCAAGTACAAGGAGAATTTGTGTCGACGTTTTTGTTGATTGTTACTTTTTAGTTAGCTTTCACTTTCTCTGGATAATTACTTATTTTTTTATGTACAGTCCTCATCATTAACACCCGGAAATAATTTTGCAATTAATTAAACGACTTTGCAATCTAATTTTACAATTTGTATGACTGTTGAAATGATAATCACAAAATAGCCCTAGTGCTGCCATTTCCAAAATGTGGTCTGCATTTTTTGAACATTTAAATTTGCCAGAGATAAGTCGTTAAGTCGCCTGTTTATCTGTCAATTATTTTCGGGTCTTTCTGTTAATGACAGTAGATACTTTTCAATAGAACTAACATTACATAAACTTGCTCAAAAAAAGTGTTGCCTCTCCTAAAAATCGTAAAACAAAAGTGCCTCCCGAGTGCTTCTTCTTATTTTATATTTACTTTATAAGTTATGAGGAATCCATTAAAAAAATATTTATTTTGAAGGATTTTATGATTGAATATTTTAAATATTTCTACGGGTATTTGGCGGAATATTTTCTATCCATTATCAAAATATGAAAATATCAAAATCGGTTAGATAATCAAACTTTTAATATTTTACTCAGATCATTCTCCTAGTAACAAATTTCAAAATTAATTTTTTGGGGGAAGGGATATTAAGTGCTTACATTTAAGTGCATGGTAGAATATCAAAGAAATTTTAAGTGTGCTATCTATGTGTGAAATTAAAAATACGAAATGTAAAGTTTCTGAAATTATATGTGACCCCTAGTTAAGTCTACCTGTTAATCAATACATTAAATTTTAGTTCTTAATTTATTATTGTTTCTCGTTTAGAATGAACGAACCAAAACTTGATTTTTTTCATTTCTATCCTATCTCAATCAGAGCCAGTTCCACCAGTAAGCAACCGGTTTCACACATTAATATCAATTAGGAATTATGCTTATTCCTTACTTCAGTTTCGCAAACACTCCCTTTTAAGCTCTGGAGGTGAACAGGATGGTTTTAAACTAACAGGACTAGGACCCCTAGGTCAAGTAGAGTAAAAGGGAAATTGAATTGTAAAAATACTTTAAGGGTGTGGTTAGGGGGGTTACTTGCGCTTGGTTGTATTCATTATACCTTAAGGGTGGGATTGTAAAAAATCTTAAGTTTGGTATTTAAGAAAACATTGGTGAAGAAGTTGAATCATACCAAAAAAACGTTTTTAAGGAAATTTTTTTGTTAAAATTAATAAATATTTAACCCCTTCACATGACAATGTAGACTCGTTCAAAAAAAACCGCAAGAAAAAAGAAGGGATTAGATAAGTTTCTGTCCGTTTAAAACTAGTTCGCGGTCACTCCCTTTTAAAGGATTTTTCCAACTACGGCCATGGACAGTCAGTAGGATTGGTAATATACCTAGGTTGAATGTATGCATAATTATTTCTAGTAGATTGACAGCTTTCAATCACATGACAACATTATTATTCTAAACCTTGCTCCCACAATACCAAACATTATTATAATTAGGAAAATATTTATTCAGAGGTTTCACTTATTTATTGTGTTTTATTCCATTCAGTAAATTTTTAATATTTATCCAGATTTATGTAAATTTGTCCGATTATATTGAAACCATCTTACTTCATGCACATCGTACTAATAATTTTAATTAGGTGTATCAAGAACTGGATTCAATTGTTGTCTTGTTTGGCTAATTCGGGTTTAATTTCAATCTTTTCATAAATCGTTTGATCCTTTAAAAAAAAAATATTTAAGGATCATTTAATACTATCTATTTTAATCTTATTGGCTCTTCTTCTGGGTTTTACTTCCTTTTTTAGTTTTGTATCGGCGGTGGGAGTAACTCAGTAAGATAAGTCATGTTTAAGTGTTGAAGACACGAGTTGATGGTGAAACTTTCTCTGAAATATTTTTTGCCTAGATCATCAGGGTTTATAATATAACTTTTAGTTTAATTTAACATTTTTAATAGTTTTCACATAGGATTCGTACAGTAACATGGTTTAGAGTTGGAATATTAGAGATATAACTATAGCTTAAGTCGAGAGCATCTGAATTATGTTACAGTAAAAATATTAAAATAATTTTTAGTGTTAAATTGTGGAGCTGATTAATTGAATGTTTATGCACACTGATTAAATTTGAGCTTACAGATTTAATGTTTATGTTTAACTGATTGAATACATGTTTATTTCAAGCTGATAAAATAAATGCTTATGTTTAACTTATTAAATGATTGTTTTCGTAAAGCTGATTAAATAAATATTCATGTTGAGCTGATTAAATGAACATTTATGTCCAACGATTACATAAATATTTATGTTAAACAGGTAAAATGAATGTTTATTTTATGTTGAGTTGATAAAACTAATGTTTATGTTAACTTTTGAGCTGACAAAGCTAATGTTTATGTTTTGCTCATAAAATTAATTAAACTGATCTTTATGTTGAGATGATTAAATGAACATTTATGTCAAACTGAAAAAATAAATGTTTAAATGTTAAACTGATTAAATGAATGTTTATTTCATGTTGAGCTGATGAAACTAATCTATATGTTGAGTTATGAGCTGACAAAGCTAATGTTTATGTTCAGCTCATAAGACTAATCTTTATTTTAAGCTGATTAAACTAAGGTTTATGTTGAGCTGATAAAAAAATGTTAAGTTGAGCTGATTTAATTAATGTTTATGTTGAGCTAAAAAAAACTAATGTTTATGTATAACTGAAAAACTGATGTTTATGTTGAGCTGATAAAACTTATTTATATTTAAGGATGTACTAAGAACAAGAGTGAAAACTACGGGAATTATTGAGACTCAATTCAAGTTCAAGAACCTACATTTCAAGTAAGAAATTTCACGGGTCTAATTATTCTCTTCAAAACTAAAAAATTTTAAGTAAAATGTCGACAAAACACAAATTGAAATATAAATATGAAAATATTAAAAGTTTCAAGAAAACGTAAGTAATCCTTAAATATAAAATATTTTATTTTATGAGATTAATTCATTCCATTTAGTCCATGTAATTTTCATCTTTTCGTCTATTTTTCAACCACAACTTTTTATCCGGTAAATTTGATGTTTAAATCTGTTTTAGAAAAAAGAATTGTTTATTCATATTTATCGACCCTTTTCCTACTCTATATATTCTGAGTGCGTATCTTGTGTTTTTAAAAACATCCTAGAAAATGTAAGTAATCTTTCAATATAAAAAATTTTATTTTATGAAATTAATTCATTACATCTAGTTCATGTGATATTCATCTCTCCGTCTATTTTTTAACTGTATCTTTTTATCCACGTTGAAATTTGATACTTGTTTTCAAAAAAGGACTCATGTTTTCAGGTGTTCATATTTATCGACCCTTTTCCTACTCTTTTTATTCCGAGGGCGCACGTTGGGGTATTTAAGGTGGTTTTTGCCACAATACTCCTCTTTTGTTTCATGGTGAAAATTGACAAAATGAATAAATTCTGATAACAACCTTTTTCTTTACAAACATTACATTAATTGTAGCTTGCATTGATTTATAATGATTTCAACTTATGATTACTTTTCCCGTTCATATATTTATCCTTGAATGGATATTGTAAACCCGCAATATATTTAGATGTCGTCTTTGTTAAAGAGCTTTTTTAAAGAAAAAAAATATTTTAAAGCAAAAGCACAAGAAAGCGCAGACGTAGAAAATATTTAGGTGCGCCAGCAGCACGCCAAAACCTTGATATAGTCGAGAGTACCGTGTTGTAAAATCCTATTTTAATAGTTTTCAATGAAATAGTGGGTTTTCGGTCGAAATTCTGAACTAAAACATAACATTTAAAATTCAGTGATGGTGATGGACCAAACCTCTGTAGAGTAAAAAAAGTAGATGTTCTCACTTTTATTGAAAATATATTTCGGTCTGGGTTGACCCTCGTCAGTTCTTTAGATTGTTTAACATTTAAACAACTTAGAGACTTATCTCAAAAAAAAATTATTAAGCGCCTAAGCCTTATTTGACATAAATAAGAGGTTTATGGAATAAAATAGCGGGTTTTTGGTCGAAATTCTTAACTAAAACATAAAATTTAAACCACTTAAAGACTTTTCTTTAAAAGAATTCTTAAGCGGCCAAGCCTTATTTGACATAAATAAGAGTTTTATGGAATAAAATCATTTTGGCTGACCCCCCATAATACCCCACTGTGCCCCCCTCCCAACAACCTGCCCTAGCTAACCCTTGCCTGGATCCAAAACCCCAATCACCTAATTTTCTTCGCTTCTTATTCCAAAACCCCAGATTCCCTCTGAACTGAGGTGCGTAACTTGTGTTTTTACAATCTGTTCAGATCGCGTTCAGTCGGATCCCCACTCCCTTGACGGGTTTAATTTAACATAAAATTTAAAGTTTACACTGTGGATATCAAGTTAGTCGATATGTCTAAGCGCCATCCCAGACAAAAGTTTTTTAATGGGATTTCTTATCACACTTTCTCCGTCCGAATTCAAAAATGTTAAAATCATAACAATCTGTTAAAAATTGAACCAACGGTCTTTTAATAGAGATTTGCCATTATTCTCCCAAAAAAGTTATTCATGATTATTTAAAGTGCTTGCACCGACTCATTTTAAAAATAAAAAGAATCCGAATGTGTTCTTGTATGTTTAAATGAACAATTTTGCTGCTTCTTGGTAAGGGGGGAGGGGGACATCCGAGCAAAAGTGCGCGCGCTTTTTGGTGGAAAATGTTACTTTTTCACATTTTTGCAAGCTTGACACCATGATACAAACTTTAACGCGCTTCAAGACGCTTTTTAACATGTAAACCCTGAATAGTTTTGCACAAAAAAACTCAAATCCACGCGCGCGCGCATTTTAGAAAATATGTAAGATTTATAATTCTTCAATTTTGGCATAATTCAGAACAGAAGTAGAACAAAATTAAAAAATAATGAAACGTAAATATTTTCTTAATTATTCTATCAATTTTAAGTTCACATTAAAAAAATCAACGATCTACGGCAATTCTAAGTTATGTTTAAACACTGTTTAAATTTTCCGGAGTGATATGTTTTGTGGCCCCCCCCCCCCTTTAAAAAAATCATATTGACCCCCCTGTACGTGTACTGTTTTCTCCAGCATAACCTAGAGGGATAATGAATTAATTAATCTGATGTAAAACCTAACTAAAAACAAAACCTTGAGGTTGGGTAAAGATAATACTTGTATTTGCAGACAACCTTGCGAATATAGAACAGTATGATTTAGAACCTTAAAAGGGTTTCCAGGATGTTAATCTCATTCTGCATATGTGGTCCCACCCTTTAATCCTTAGTTGTAATATACTTCTTATACACATACACACACATCTATGATTACGGTCACAAACACAGAAGATCTTAATTTACTATTTAAGAGAAAAAAGATTTAGGAAAATTTTACAAAACAAATTTATTTTTTAGAAAAAGTTTAAAAATATATATTGGTAAAGGTTGTTAATTGGAAACTAATTTGAGAAAGTCACGATCTATTATTATACTTGTCGTTCCTTATTAAGTCTGCATATTGAACATTAACAAATATTGTTTAGAATGTTTGATGTCGGTGGTCAGAGATCGGAGAGAAAGAAATGGATTCATTGTTTCGAGGGAGTGACAGCAATTATTTTTTGCGTAGCTCTCTCAGGATACGATCTTGTACTGGCAGAAGATGAAGAGATGAACAGGTAAATTTCAATCTGTCCTACTCTAGGTACTAAGTAGAGCAGGTGGAGATTTTACTCCGACCTTGTTGGGTTGTAACCATAGTATCTTGTTAGTTTCATAACAAAACAACAAAACATTTGTCTTGACATTACACCACACGATATCCTGATCTATACAATACCTTTCCTTAGAAACAGTTGAGGGTTGCAGGATATAATTCTTCTTTTGACAAACTTTTATACTGGCGAGTCATCTTATTATTCTATTATTATTTGAAAGTTTTTCTTTTCCTAGTGACGCTCCTGGCTAGTACTTGTTTCATGTATCTACAAATTGATACAGATGAATCAACAAAAAAATGTGACGTATCACTAAAATTTCACTTTTCAGTGTCCAGCTGTTGATTAATTTTAATAAGTGTGGGAAAAGGATAAACTAGGATCCTAAATCCTGGTGTTAGGTCTTTAGTACCTTGGCATTCATTTCAAATTTAGGGAGATTTTGTGGATTGAAGGGGGATTAGAAGTTTAGACCTTGGTTAAAGACTAAGCTGAAGAAAAAAATAAAAATGTTAGGTTTTAGTACCGTAAAGATTCTAGACCTACATTGTGTCCTGGTTAAAGACTGCAGGATAAATCTAACTATTCCTACTCCTGGTCCTAGTTAAAGACTGCAGGATAAATCTAACTATTCCTACTCCTGGTCCTAGTTAAAGACTGCAGGATAAATACAACTGTTCCTAGTCCTAGCTTAAGACTAGGATGAATATATCTGGTCCTATTCCTAGTCCTAGTTTAAGACTGCAGGATAAATATAACTAGTCCTACTCCTAGTCCTAGTTAAAGACTGCAGGATAAATATAACTAGTCATACTCCAAGTCCTTAAGACTACAGGATGAATATATCTAGTCCTTCTCCTAGTCATAGTTTAAGACAACAGGATGAATATATCTAGTCATACTCCTAGTAATAGTTTTAGACTGCCGGAGGAATATATCTAGTCCTAGTTTTAGACTGCAGGATGAATATTGCTCCGTGTAGTATGATTGAGTATAATGTTGTTGGCTGGATGCAAGGTGAGAATGATTGTTCTTCATGGGAAATCTGAGAAATTGTGTTCCATCTCTTTCTCACCAGGCCTGTTTTCCGCACATATCCTTGTGCTTGAGTGAGGATGTAAACCGTGCTCAGCTCATTATTTTCTAGTCTTTTCATTTTATGCTATTTCAAAAGCGCGCGTTGTCGGTCGAATTTCATGGTTTTGGATGTTTCCAATAGTAGTTTGAAAGTTCCCCTCTGGGATACGATCGGACACAGGTTTCTCTAGGATATTGTTCCTTGGTACATTTAAACTAGGATTTAATGTTCATGGGAGAACGTGTCTTGGTTTGGCAGAGTAGTTATTGTATTTACATGCTTTGGGTTTGTTTCTGTTTTATGGAATTGTGTCATGGTGTCTGTAGAAATTGAGTGTTTTCTTGTGACGATATGTTTAAGTGTACGAGAAGTAGAGTGTTTGATGTGTTTTAAGCGAAGTGTGCCCCTGAGTTGTGTTTAAGTGTACGTGTAGAGTGTTTGATGTGTTTTAAGCGATGTGTGCCCCTGAATTGTGTTTAAGTGTACAAGTAGTAGAAACTTTGATGTGTTTAACCCGAAATATCTCCCTGACTTGTGTTAAAGTGTACGTGCAGAGTGTTTGATGTGTTTAACCCGGAATGTCTCCCTGTATTGTGTTTAAGTGTACGTGTAGAGTGTTTGATGTGTTTCCGAAATTTGCCCCTGAATTGTGTTTAAGTGTAAGAGTGTTTGATGTGCTTTAACCCAAAATTTGTCTCTGAATTGTGTTTGTGTGAGTAGATTGTATGTCTTCCAATCAGATATGTGTCTTCCTGAATTGTGTTAAGTGTTCGAGTAGTAGAGTGTTTGATGTGTTTAACCCGAAATGTGTTTGTGTGAGTAGATTGTATATCCTTGAAACCCCTGAATTGTGTTTAAGTGAATATGATAGTTGGTTTCACACCTTTGTGTTAAATATATCGGGTTCCAGCTGTATAGGGTTAAACACTAATGTGGGGGGGGGGGGAACAAGTTTTGAAAGTAAGTAGTCTGAATTTACTTAATAGTTTATTAACATTGTTCATTTTAATGGTTCTATTTTGTGCAAAGATGTTTTTTTTCTTTCTTGGCTAAAAAAGTATCTTCTCTTTTCAAAACTTGTTTGTTGTGGGCCACAACTTTTATCTCCGTTGCCCAGCCATTAGTATTTTATGGATTACTCAAGTACAAAATAGTTTCTCACATCAGTCCTTGGACCTAACCTCTAGTCTTTGTTACTCCTCCTTATCCTTGTTGTTTTTAACACTTGTCCTAGTTTTTCACATCTTGTCCTAGTTGTTCACATCTTGTCCTAGTTCTTCGCATCTTGTCCTGGTTCCACTAATCCTGGTTTCTTAAACACGTGTTTTTGCTTAAACCCTTGTCCTAATTGTTTTAGTTCTTGTCCTAGTTGCTTAAACCCTTGTCCTAGTTGATAAATCACGTGTCTTTTTCTTTTCTTTTAATCATTATCCTGCCAGCCCTGTTCTAGTTGCTTCATGGTCTTAGTTGCTCAAACCCTTGTCCTTCTTGCTATACGCGTTGTCCTAGTTGCTTTACCCCTTGTCCTTGTGCTAAAACTCGTGTCATAGTTTCTAAACTCCTTGTTAAAGTTTCCTTAATCCTTGTCACAAATGTATATTCCTTCTCTCTTAATTTTTCCCTTGTCCTAGTTGTATAAACCCTTCTCCTAGTTGTTAACCCTAGTCTGAGCTCCTAAACTACTTATCTTGATGGATTTGTCTAATGGTTGAATCAGGTTTAAAATAAAGATTGGTAATACATCCCATTGTTCTGTAGAACCCAACCTTCTAAAGTATACTGCACTACTCTACCCTTGAACCTTCAATTCCTCTCTCAGACCTTTATTCAATTGCAAAAATTGTGGCTTTGTGACAAGGCTTCCTCCGTTTATCATTTGTTACACTAGGATTTCATCTAATTTAAATAATTCAGGGTTGGAACCTTTTCTCCTCTTTTTTCATTTTCTGCACCGGTCCATCCACCCTGTCTCAATCTCAATCATATTCTTTTTATCCTGAAACATTTTTATCCTCAAACATTTTTTTTTATTAAATTCTGAATACTTCCAACCTCCCATCCCCCTCCCCACAATCCAATCAAGTATATTAGACGGGTAGTGCAAACTGAAGTAGTTGGTAAGATAGTTTTATTGCCAACAAAATCATTATATTTCATCAAGTTCCTGATTTCTAACTGAGGTTTCTTTACAAAGAAAACCTTTCAATGTTGGATGTTAAGAATTGCTATCTCTCATTATTCTCAAGGTTGTGTAGATTACCCGTCTCAGTAAATTAGTAGAAGAAGAATCATTTCAAACCAGTTCTGAAGCCGATACTTGTTAAAGGGACTGTAAGCGTAATTTCAAGTGACCCTGCAAAGCTGTCCATGTCCGATTTACAACGGTTAGCTTGAATCCTTTATCTGATCAATAATTGTAAGATATTGTCGTATTTCTAGGTTTAAAAGGGTTTAATACTGATAATTCCTATTTGATATCCGGCTCTAGAAGTGCGCAACTCACTTTAGTTGAGAAACATTAATCAAAAATAATAAGTTTTAAAAATGGATATACATTCTTACTTCATATTTAATACATACATTATCAGACCGTTTTACATCTTTGCTTGGAGGACCACTTGAAATTACGCTTTAAATTTAAGTTCCTTGTATTGCGCAATCTCCGTTGAGATATTCAGACAGAATTTACCTAATCTGTGGATCTAGTAAAGATTATTGTTTTCTAAGTGCATTACCAATTCAAAAGTTTCGAGCTTTCTGCAAGAACTTCTGTAAATTTAAGACAAAAAAATCAATGATGAAGTCTAATTCAAAATTATTATTTGTTAGTTTAAATAATATTGTTACAACTATCGTTAGTTGTTAAATTCTCATTTGTCAACTACCGAAAAATGAAAAAGAAAAATAACTAAATTTCACATCACTATGCTTCTATTCTATATATAGACATAAACCCTCCTTATTCATCGTCCTTCATAAAGAAGATATTCATCCGTAACAATACATGCATTTTTATCTTTAAATATTTTATTTAGCTGTTCTCTCCCTTATATAATTCAGAAATAAACGTTGAAATTACATTAACATACATTTTATAACTCTTGAATGGAACATAACATTACACATTAAAGAAGAAAAGTTTAGATTTTTATAAAAAAAAATTTATGATATAATATTTATATAAAAAGATTAAGTCATTGTTTTTGAGTGGCCCTCAACTTAAAGAGAGACATAACTGTACCCTTCTCATCAAAAAAATGTCCTAGCCTGAACTGTAAACAGTCGTTTAATTTTGACCATTTCTTTCATGAATTTTTGCTGAAGAATCCATAAGTCCCACGTTTGTCAAAGCTTTTAAGGATACCGTTGTAAATTGGACATGTCCATTTATAAATGGGGGTTCACTTAAAATTATGTCTACAGTCCCTTAAGCTTCCTTTTAATGTCTCAAAGGCAGCTTAATCTCGAGACTAACATTTTCCGAATTAATTTAATCGCGGCCTCTTAAGTTAATAAAGGAAATAGACTCTTGTGCAACTCTGCATTACAATGATTATGAACATATATGGCTCAGTTTATATTTTGACGGGTAATTTAAAATGAATTTAAGGAGCGCTTACACACATGACAAATATGTCTTGCAAATCCGTGTCTCTAATCACCGAACTTACGCAGCACACAATCCTTACAGTTTATTTTTCATATTCATGTCTTCCTGTCAATAGATTACAATCTGCTTTGCAAGACTATTTCAACTGAATCTATATATAAATTTGGCTTGTCTGTCTGTCTGTTTGTCTGTTTGTCTGTTTGTTTGTTTGTTTGTTTGTTTGTTTGTATCCAATAAACGTCAAAACGGCTGAACCGATCGGGCCCAAATTTT